TTAACTTTCAACTGTCTAACATCGTTCTCAAAATTAAAAAAGGACAGACAGACAGATGGAGAAAAGTTGGCATTTATAGGTGTACAATTTCTTTAAATTGCAGCCCAATCATATTTTACTCCCTTCTGTTATCACTAAACCACGTATTGGAGAAGGCAAAACACCTCGTTATTTTATATATATATATATATATTATTGATTAAACAATCAATTCGATAAGTTATATTTTTAGTAGTGTATGATTCGACGCCATTAATATGTTTTGCATTTATTTTCGTACAGTTTACTTTGAAAAAATCTATATTTAATTACTAAAATTGAATTGAAAATAGAATTTGAATCGAAGAGAGAAGCGGGGAGGGAGGCTCTCGAATAGTGATAAATTTACCTAAAAAAATCGATAATAAAAGTAATTTAAGCTGCTAAAAATTAATATTTGAGATAAATTTTTAACGAATTTTCTAAAAATTTATTAGAAAATTTCTATATATTTACTGTGTGTAAAGTATCGTTAAATCAACTTGTAAATATTCTATCGAGGAGTTAAAATTATACGGGGATAAAAGTAAATATATTTATAGAATAAATTTAAAATTTAAAGGAAATTAGTTTTCTTGTTATATCAATAATTTACGACGAAGTAATGGTTTGTTTTCGTTGCTTAGAAACATCACGCTGGATTACTTTTGTCATTTTCGTTAATTACACTACGGATAAACCCTGTGTATTCGGCTTCTCTGTGCTACTCCACTCTATGCCAGAAAGTGTGAATTACAGGGGGGGAGCAAAGTAAAATTGATTACAACAACTGGGGCTTTTGTGACGTCATCAAATCCGCACCAGTCACCGTGTAGTCATATTTTCACGCGTGAACTCTCGTCTAACGTGACGAAAGGCGTCACACAACACGTTCGTGAATTAGAATGGATTTACGAAAATTAATCACTGCGGTCCCTTTACAACCAGCCAGTATCTGTTTACGTGTTAGCTGCGCGTTGACATTAATAACTCAAGTTACTATAAATTGATTTGTAACGATAACACATTTTCATTTATTTTAAATGGCAAACGATAATTAAAATTCGCGTATAAATATAAAGAGAATTAATTTTAAAAAGAATCGATTTTTATCTGGAATAAAAACAAAAATTCCCCTTTTACACTCTAAAAAAACAGAGAGAATTTTTTAGAATGACCCTTAACTTAGAGAAAATATTAGAAAAATTTTAATGTACTCGACTTATTTCATTAATAAAATTCGAAAAGATTCGATGTAGCACTTGAATTGAACAATAAAGATATGTGCAAAGTGACGTTTTATTGAACGAGGGATGTTTTTCACGCTGATATCATACAGAAGGGCTTAGTTAACTGTACGATCAAACTCCAGTTCCCGCAGGGATATACATCGATCCAGTGTTGGTAGTTAGACGTACGATCCACTGTGGATGACGTTTATAGGTGAGTGGCACTGATAGATCGCGAGAGCAACATCTTAGAAAGCTTTCCATATCTGGTCTCGATTTTTTACCTATCTAACTCAGTTTTCGAGACTTAACGAAGGACAGACATGCAGACAGACAGTGAAAACGTACAGGACTATTTTATACAATTCGAAAATTACAGCCCTATTAAATTACAAACACAAATTTAAAGAAGAAGACTGAACGAATCTTAAAAACACGAAGAAATTTCAAACGTTTTCTCTCCAAAATTTCGCTCAGGAGAGTCGAATTAGCATCGATCAAAAGTTTCCTTTCTGAACTTAATTAACTTTATCCAATTTACAAAACTGTAGAAAATTCTCTGAAAGTATTTATATATATATACGTATATAACTCAGGTGAGTTAAGGCATTAATTGTTAGACAATGTCAAACTCATTGTAAGGAAGTCATTAGGTGACGTCATTATCCGCTAAATGTTGTAAAATTTCCGGATATAGTTATCTATATCAGAAAACCATTAGAAATACGATATTATTAAAGAGAATAGAAATTACACTTTTGCGATATTAAACGTCTGACTTTCAATGTTTGCTTTTGGTATCTTCCCCCATTGAGACGGAGCTGGTTATCTAGTAAAATGCAATAAAATTAACGAGGTGAATATAAAAGAAGGAATTTAACTTGCTCTGACGTTTTAAATGAACTCCCTTGTCTCTTCATTACAATCGAAAATAGTAAAAAAAAAACATATCTATTTTTTAATTGTCGATTAATCTTAATCTTATTATGACTTTTTCTGTTTATTTCTTAAACTAAAAAAATTAATTTGTTTAAGTATTAATTTAACAGAAACGAGCGATTATTTATTGTGACATCTTCACAATTTTTATTTATTCAATTTAAAATATATGCTCTCCATCTCAAATTAGCCCCTGTAAATCATACTTTTCCTGTTAGCAGTAGAGTCTTACCGGTTATCTCTATAACTCCTATCAGGGAGAATTTTTTAAAATTAAATTAACGTAAACTTCCGGTTTGCACCGGAAGTTCACGTATAATTAATCGGGGCTTCCTTCATCTAAGATTTTCATATCTGGTCTCGAATTTCATTTATTTATCTTTCTATTTCTTTCTTTAACTTTCAACTGTCTAACATCGTTCTCAAAATTAAAAAAGGACAGACAGACAGATGGAGAAAAGTTGGCATTTATAGGTGTACAATTTCTTTAAATTGCAGCCCAATCATATTTTACTCCCTTCTGTTATCACTAAACCACGTATTGGAGAAGGCAAAACACCTCGTTATTTTATATATATATATATATATTATTGATTAAACAATCAATTCGATAAGTTATATTTTTAGTAGTGTATGATTCGACGCCATTAATATGTTTTGCATTTATTTTCGTACAGTTTACTTTGAAAAAATCTATATTTAATTACTAAAATTGAATTGAAAATAGAATTTGAATCGAAGAGAGAAGCGGGGAGGGAGGCTCTCGAATAGTGATAAATTTACCTAAAAAAATCGATAATAAAAGTAATTTAAGCTGCTAAAAATTAATATTTGAGATAAATTTTTAACGAATTTTCTAAAAATTTATTAGAAAATTTNTTACGGTGTTATACGAGAAGATAATAATAATAATAATACTATTATTATTTTCCTCATCTTGTAAATTCAATAGTACACTAATGTGACGTCGATTTTGGACCGGAAGTCACGTGATTTAAATTTAAAATTTTATCCAGTATAAACGACCGGCACTACTCGGTTGTTATCAAGAGAAGTGTGATTTACAGGGGCAGAATACTATTAAAATCGAGACCAGATATGGAAAGCTTAGGATCCGGATATCCCGTTTAATTATACACGAATTTCCGGTCTGGATCGGAAGTCACGAGATTTTTTTTTCAAATTAAATTGCATCCCAGAGTTTTGACGACGTCACAATAAATAATTGCGCGTTTATAAAATACTTCTTTTTCTTACTAAAAAATCGATCGATAAAAGTAAATTATTAAAAAATAATTTAGCGGAAAATGAAATTTGATAATTTATAAAAATTGTTATTATTCAAGAGAATATTTTATCCTTTAGCTATTTTAAAATCGCTAATATTCTTTATACTATCGCTTATAGAAGAAGAATATTCGAATTTTTTTTTCTTTTTTTCGATTCCAATTCCCGGAAGAGAAATTAAAGAATAAATATTTAAAAATCTTAAATATAATTTCACAAAGCGTAAAAGAAATTATCGAAGATTTAAAAGGAAGAAAAAAAATTTGTAGTTTAATCTTCCCCCTAGCACAATTCGAAGGTGATTTGATCGACCGCACAACCACTACAGACCGTAAATCTCATCTGGTTTAAAGCTGTGTTCTTAAATTTCCCGAAATTAAAGTGCGGACAGCTAGGCTAATTTCCTTGGACAAATGGCTGCGATTTTAATCATCGTTACATTCACACTACCCTGACTAACGCTCCTGCTCTTCTCACTTAATGGGATGCTGGATGGATAGCAGAAGACAGAAAATTCCGGTTGAAAGAGGAACTGACGTCCGGTTTGTATGTTTGAATAACTTTCCTGTCGTTGATCAAGCGAACTGACTAGAAACAGGATAAGATATATCTATTGAATCATCTCGTGATGTGTGTAAACTGTGAATTTATCTGATGATTTTACATATAATGATTGACGTATGATGCTTGTATCCGTTTTCTTTTCTTCTTTTTTTTTACTCTTTCATTTAGGAATAGAAAACTGTTACAGAGAAGAAACAATCTCTTCCTTCATTAAAAGAAACAGAATTATCGATCACTTCTCTTTATCTTTCTTTAACCTTTCCGATAAAGAGAAAAATCATTTATTTATCCCTTCTAAAAGATGTTGGGAATTTTTCTTTATGTCTTTCTTAATATTAATAATTTATAGATAATTATTAACTTAGGACAAATACCATTTCTTCTTTCATTAAAATTTTAAAAATATTGCTAAGGTTTTTTTTTTCTTTTGCTAGATAAATATAATAAATTATAAAGAGAATTCGATTTTATTTTTAATTTTTTAAAGGAGTTATTTAAATATGTTTAAAAAAAATCTTTATTATTAAGTTATTAAATTGTGTGATTTATTTATAATTTAAATTATTAAATGAAGTAATTTAAATTATTTACAAGAGAAGAGGATTTTAATTCGGGATCGAAATTCTACAGGGGTAAAAAAAAGGGGAAATTCTCGAGGGATTTAACAGAGATACAGAGTAGAGAATAAGACTCTTGAGATTTGGAGAAGAGAAGAGGTTCGTTTCCCGAAGAAAAGACAGAATTCTAACTTGTCTGAACTAGTTAGCGATGTTCTCGTGACCAACAACCAATAGAAGAGTGAGATTTGGAGAAACGGCGTATCTACGCCGATAAAACAGCCGGCGCGGCGTACAATTATCGATTTTTGCAAAAATGATTTTCATTGGTGGACGAAATATTTCCCATGATACCTACAGAAGCAGTGCTAAGCTCACAGCACCGGAAAGGTTGCTAGTGTGAGAAGCTCTGTGTCTACGGCAAGACGGTTTAGTTGCTATCGAAGGATGCTAGCGAACTAGTCCTTGCATCGATACTTGTGATTGTGCTGTGTCTGTAAAGTTGAATACGGCTCTGGGATTGGCCAATTGCGACAGTTGAAGGTATGATAGAATCCCGTTAACTTTCGATAATATTCGTAAACGAGTCAAACGTGTCTTAAAAGTTAAACACTACTCTTAATATTTCTTTTTAAATCAACATTTTGTGTGAGATAGATGTGGTGTTAGCATTTAACATCGTATATAACTTTATATTATCTCTAAACAATGTACGAATTGCTACGTTTACAATTATAATTTTAAAACGTTAGTACAGTTACCCTGTAAATGCCACTTCCTATCATAGCTTAATTGCTATGCAGGGAAGACAACATGTTTTTCTTTATTACATTTATTCGTTATTTATTAAAGTTAGAATAAAATTTTTTCAAAATAAATAAAATTATTTTAATAATATATCGATTTAATTTCATTTTATTCATAAATCCCATCTAAAAATATTTAAATTTTACCGTGTTTACCTGACTATATCTAATCATAATAATCGTAGTAGTGAATTAGCTGTTGTCTCCTCCTAAAAGCTTATTTAGGATTCAGTAGTAAGTGGCAATACCCTACACATTACGCGATGAAAAGTGCATGACCGTGCTCACTAATCTCAATATGGGTACCCACATAATCACATGCAACATACTGAATAAATTTCAATTATTAATTCAATAAATAATTAAAAACCACGACAGCGTATATATATATATATACATATTAAAAAAAGTGATATAAAAATTNATGACCGTGCTCACTAATCTCAATATGGGTACCCACATAATCACATGCAACATACTGAATAAATTTCAATTATTAATTCAATAAATAATTAAAAACCACGACAGCGTATATATATATATATACATATTAAAAAAAGTGATATAAAAATTGATTAGAACTTATAAGATTTTTATAATTACCATCATATTATTTCATATAATTTACTTTCTTTTCGGTTAGCGTGTGGTGTAAAAGTATATTACAGAGCCATTTTGTAGAGAGGGGAGATGCATGCATTATCCTATGATAGCCCCAAGAGAAGTATAACATGTAATAATGCATTGATGACCATACAATCTCCAAGAAATTTATCTGTTGCATGCAAAACAGTTTGCGTGTTTTGTTCTATGGTCAAATGCGTGATATTATATTATAATTCTACTCCTGGATAACCTGAAAGAAGAAGTTTCTCTCGTAATTTTATGCATGATTCTCTTCTTATAAGCGAAAGAAAACAATTCCATCTAAACGAAAATTTATACTATAAGATCAAATTCAAAAAAATATATATATCAAGTATTACCGAATATTCTCTTACAATATCCTAATAGAATTTACCACAATAACGGTACTAAATAACACACAAAAAAAACTTTTAGTTATATTATTAGTTAATCTCTTATACCACGTAATAATTAATAAATTTATTTTTAAAAAAAATCAATTATTTTAATATGTTTTATTTCTTAAATTCTATTAGAAACGTAATTAGTTATTAAAAATTGATCAAGGAAAAATGAAATTTTAAATATTCCGTTCATAAATAATTTAATCAGTTATTATAAATGTCAAGATTAAGCTAACAAAAGCGGAAGAGAAAAAGAGATTTTTTTTTTTATTTTTACTATTTTTTTTTTTTACTTTTTTCTTGGGAGAAGGAAGAGAAAAGAAAATCATTTTGTATAAATAAATGATATGTCTTTTGAATTTTGAAACATTTAACCACAAACAGTTCAAACTGTATCTTTGATGGAAACAGCATCCAATTTTTCTTTCTCCACTACCAATATTTGAAATTACTTTATTATTTCATTTCTATCTCCGGAGACTCTCTTTTGTTGTAGATATCTCTATAAATATAATTTTTTTCCCTACATTTTTCATTGTAATTTTCTTTTAACTCGAGAAATTTTTCAGATTTTTTCCCTATATTTTTTTCCCTCGTAACAGCACTCCCATTCTTTCGCATTCAATTATGAATTTTGTCATTATGATATTCAAATCAGTCCATTTTTTTTAAAAAAAAAGTTTAATAAGATTTTACAGATTTATTCTCATTTTATTATGTTTTTTCTTTTTACTTGGAGAAAAAAAAAGCCAGGAAAATACTTTTTTTTCCTATTATGAGAGCTCGAATGATAGAATTAAAGAGAGGTGTTAATTATATAATTGGTGGATTTTAGTGACTTCTCTCTCTCTCTCTTTCTCTCGTTTTAATTCTTTTATTTATAAATATTTATTTTAATATATATTTTTCGATCATTCATAAAACATCTTTAATCATACAAAAATATGTTAGCTGAAGTATCATTAATTGTAGCCTATTTCAAAGCAACTGCAGCGCTCAGAATAGCTGTTATTGATCGACAGTCAACCTTCTATGGCAATTATAATTTAGATTCTGAAAGGAAAGTCGAGGGGAAAAAATGCATAAATCAATATTTTGTTAATAAAAAAAAATATTTAAAAATTTAAGATCAAAAACAATTTATATAAGGGAGAAAAATTAGTAAATAAAATAATTAAACTCGCTATTTAGAGGGAAAAGTTTATCTAAATGATGCTGCTGCTGCTGCTGTAGTTTTAAGTTTTAAAATTCTCATAAAAATTTTAAGAGTAAAAATTTTAACAATATTTTTTACGTAAAAAATTAAAAATTTAGGGTCAAAAACAATTTTTATAAAGGTAAAAATTAGTAAATAAAATTAATTAAAGTTGTTTTACGTAAGAGGAAGAAGGGAAATTTAAGTTTTTAATACATTTATCTACCTTCTCCAGCATCCTCATCTCCAGCATCTTTTCTTCCAGCATCCGACTAAGTGATGTAGCTATACTTATAATATTCTAAATTCTCATAATTATAATAATAATAAAAAATCTTATTTATATTTTTTTCATAAAAAAATATAAAAATTGAGACCAAAAACAATATTTTTAAAAGGAAACAAAAATTAGTAAATAAAATTAATTAATTTCGTTATACATAAGAGAAATTTCTTTAAATGATGCTGCTATTTTCTCTAATTTTCTAACTTATTATAATGTTTTAATTTGTAATAAAAAATCTTTTAGATATTTTCTTATAAAATTTTTTTAAAATTTAAGGTAAAAAAAAAGAAATTTTTATATAAGAAAAAAAAATTAGTAAATAAATTAAATTCGTTGTTTATAAGAGGAATTTATGTAAGTGATGTTGCTGTTTTCTTCTATTTTTTTTTTTTTTTGTTTTTAATTTTCTAAATTCTCATAAAGTTTTATTAACAGTAAAAATCTGATTCAGGGATCAGTATTCTATTAAATTAATTGAAAAGGTTTTTGAAGAGTGAGTGTTCAAGTCATCTTATAGAATAAAGAAAAGTTTTTTTTCCCCTTTTTCTCTTAGCTTAAGAAAGGAGTCTTTGGTATCTATTAACTTTCCTATTGCTAATCTCCTATTTGTATTCCGAGAGTTTCTTGAATCTTCTTTTATTCTTTGATTTTCTTTCTCGCCTAAAATTTCATTTGCATCTCCTCTTATTTTAGATGATACCAAGCATGAATTTGCTTGAAGAATCTTGGCGTTAATTTTAAACTATAAGACCACGTATTTCGAATTTTAACACGTAATTATAATCACGTGAATATTCCGATAGTTTAAATATATTTAAAATATATCACAAATTTTCTTTGATTATAATTAAATTCGTAACTTTTAAAACTTTCTACATCAGTTTAGAAACTTACTCTTTCATTAAGTTAGATTGACAAAGTAAAGATATGACTTTAATGAACAAGGTTAGAGGTCATATGACAGTTTGCTTTAAGGATTTCAAGCATAAAGTAATTTATAGCCTGCTTGAATAATTTCCTTTTATATATGCAAAATAAGATAATAATTTATTCTAGAATAAAATTATTTTACGTTTATCCATCGAACGTACGACCTTGTTTAGATCTTTAAATAATATACTTTGGAAGTTTGTATTCTTATTTTTCTTTTCATGGTATATTTATATATATTTATTTAAATTTAGATAATCAGAAAGGAATGTTAACAATTGATGTACACAAATATCCGGTAGAAATTGGTTGTTTGACATTCATTTAATTATCGTATAATGACAAGATTGGTTAACTCTCCAAGCATTGTGTATACATCAAATGATGTCCAACACAAACAGTTCAGTAGATAAACACCAAAGTCTGTACAAAAGTCAGATTATACTTAAACAAGATGCATTAATTTAAACAAATATTTTAATAAAATTATATAAGATAATTCTTAGTTAACTCGGAAAAGGAAAATTTAAGTTTTTAATGCATTTTATTTTATCTTCTCCAGCATCCTCATCTCTAGCATCTTCTACTCCAGCAACATCCTCTCTACGGTTTTACCTGTAATTTATAAATAGTTTACGAAGCTAAATTTAGAAAAATTTAAGAATGTTTCTTTATAAAAATAACTTTAAAGAAAAGTGCATGACCGTGCTCACTAATCTCAATATGGGTACCCACATAATCACATGCAACATACTGAATAAATTTCAATTATTAATTCAATAAATAATTAAAAACCACGACAGCGTATATATATATATATACATATTAAAAAAAGTGATATAAAAATTGATTAGAACTTATAAGATTTTTATAATTNGAGTTTAAAAAGTATTTTTTAAAACTACTTGATGGCTTTAATTTATAACATTAGAAGGAAATAAATTAATTTGAAACATGTACAATGCTATCGTGTAGTTTCCATTTACACGAGTACAAGTAAATGAAACGGTCCTTCCTGCACAAAATATGTAAATAATACGGAGATGTTATACACTCACTCTGTCATTGCGTGAGTCACCAAGTCGTCACGTAACCGCTATGATTTAGTCACGTGATTGCGACTACCCTGGAATAACTTTAATTATAAAAATTAAAATATCTTATTTATTTTTATTATTATTATTTTTTTAAAATAGATTTTTATAAGCGAATAAGAATTTTTGTATGCAATTTAATAGAGTTTTTTCTGCATAATTTATGAGAATTAATTCGTAAATTTTAATCATGTGCAGCTA